GTGTCTTTCTTAAATTAATCCTTCACATAGTGTTATAAGGAAAGACATCTTTTAGTCCCTACAAACTCCTCATACCCTCCTCACTTTTATTAGGCCTTCCTTATTCAGTACCTTAATAAAATGACGAGATCAATTTAAACACTATAAAAAATAATCATTCAAATGTTCCAAAAAATTCCAAGAATTATATTTAATTAGCTGCTATATTTAGAAGATTTTTCAGAATTATTAATTTGGTTATCTTTTTCCTCAAAAGTTCAACAAAAAAAACCTCTTCCTTATAATTAGGCTCATTAATTTCTTCTTGTGCATTCCTTTCTCTCCTACTTTTATTTTTGCCAACTTATAAAATACCCCCTTACCATTTCTCACTCTTACTTTGTACTTTATAAACATATGCTTTGGGCAGCACCGGTGGCCCAGTGGTTTAGCGCCGCCTTTGGCCTAAGGTGTGATCCTGGAGAGCCAGGATCGAGTTCCGCATCAGGCACCCCGCATGGATCCTGCTTCTCCCTCTGCCTGTGTCTCTGCCTCTTTCTCTCTCTCTCTCATGAATAAATAAATAAAATCTTAAAAAAAATTAAACACATGCTTTATGTTTTATCAATTTTCATATAATATTGATATTTTCAAACTGGATAAAAACAAACATTGTTACACACAAAGAAGCAGAAGCACATTGAGTTTTTATTTCCTCTTATGTGAGGAAGCAGCTAGGCTTTTTAGCCTAAGCTAAAATATTTGTCATTGGGTTCCACACCCATTGTGGTTCCACAACCACAATGAACTAATATTAATATGTAAGTCCTAATTATATGGTTTGTGAATTTTTTTTTCTTTTTCTCCACTCACTTTTTTTTGGGGGGGAGGGGACTGAAGTCATGTGGCAAGAGACAGCTAACAAAATGATCACAGAAATATATTTAAGTAAGGGCTAGAAACGTGGTTTTATTAAATGTAGTTAAATATAATTCTAAATAAATAAATGAAATGTTGCAGGATAATATGTGAAAAAGAGAGGGAGAAAAGCAATCAATCTTTTACTGATGACAGATTTCTGATCAAAAAAAAAATAAGGCACAGAAATCCTTTCACTTCTCTTTAAGTATTTTCTAGGGAAGTTTAAGCAACAGCATATCACTTGATCTCACACATTATATCTCATCATCAATGATTATGGATTACTAAAGGAGTGAGGATAATTTACTGTTTAGAGTCAAGATGCTCTTGTCAGCAAACATGAATCAGAACCCTAACTCTACCATTTACTAGCTCTATGATCACAAGTTTTCATCTCTATGAGGGATAATAAAAGTAGCTATTTCATGAGGCTATTATGAAAACTAAATAAGATAATGCATGTCAACTGCTTAGCAAAATTCCTGATACACTGAAAATATATTTAAAATGTTAAACACATTATTATTATGTCTACTGTAAATAAAACATTTTGTTCATGTCTCATATAGACCTGATCATATCATTACCATACTTGCAACTTCATCAGCTTCTCACTGACTTTGGAATTAACTCTGAACTTAACTTATAAGGTACTCCAATAATCATTTCTCACCATCATTCCTCTTTAACTCTACACCAAGCCTTAGACTTTAGTTCCTCGAATATGCCACACATCCCTGCTTGCCTCTAAGGCTTTCCACCTGAAGTTCATTTTGCTCATAACATTCTTTCTCATCTCTTCCTTCCTTCAATGTAAAAACACGACTGCTTCTGAGAGACCCTCCCTGACCTGTTGACTAGTCCGGACCAACCAGCTTAATGGTCATGGAAATATCTTGCAATCATAATGTGTCAAGACGGAAGATGAAGCCAACATGCTTAAAACGGCCTGTTGGAAGGGTAAAAACATGCCCAGAACTGCTTATCTCTAAGCTCTTTGTCATATTAGCAATAAATGTGCTTACGGGGACACCTGGGTGGCACAGTCAGTTAAGCCCCCAACTCTTGGTTTCAGCTCAGGTAGTGATCTTAAGGTCCTGAAATCAAACCCCTGTGTCCGGCTGTGCTCTGAGCAGTTTCTCTCTCCCTCTCCCTCTCCCTCCCTGCTCATTCTCTCCTCAAATAAATAAATTTAAAAAATAAAAATAAAAAATAAATGTGCTCAATGTTTAAGCCAGAGGCTAACAAACTACAACCTATGAGCCAAACCTAGCCAACTTTCCATCTTTGTAAATAAAGTTTTATTGTGATACAGCCATATCATTCATTTAACATTATCTTTGGCTGCCTTTGTGTTAAAAGGATAGAGTTCAGTAGTTGCAACAGAGACATATGACCTAAAAAACCTAAATTATTTGCTATCTAGCCCTTTACGAAGAAGTTTGCTGTCCCTGGTTTAAGCTAGTATTGTTTGGGTTTTGTTACTTATAGCCAAAAGCGTCCTAACTCACTTTATTTCCATAACTTCCTTGTGAAACATTTCATCTGATTTCACTGTAATTACTTACATATCTTCCCTTCTGTCTATGCTTATTTTGCCATCTGCATGAACTCTCCAAGTAGGACTGGCCTACTATTATGACCCTATTACCAATACTGTATTTGACAAGTGGAAGGTATTTAAACATTATGGACTGAACAAGCAAACGAATGAATGAGTATATCTGATCAATAACCAATCAATTATTTATTAACTGACATGTATATCAGGTACTCCAAGTGATATAAAAGAGTAGAAGATATACATTCTCTGCCCCAAATGGCTTAAGAAATCAGGTCTATAAAATAAACATGTAAGCATTAAAAAAAAAAAAAAAGATAAATTATTTCAGAAGCAGGGTACATCTATACATGTATAAGTACTACCATTAAAATGTGTACTGGACCTTTAAAAAAATCCTGATTTTATATCATAACAAAAGATAAAAATATGGGGATCCCTGGGTGGCGCAGCGGTTTGGCGCCTGCCTTTGGCCCAGGGCGCGATCCTGGAGACCCGGGATCGAGTCCCACGTCAGGCTCCCAGTGCATGGAGCCTGCTTCTCCCTCTGCCTGTGTCTCTGCCTCTCTCTCTCTCTCTGTATGACTATCGTAAATTAAAAAAAAAAAAAAAAAAAAGATAAGAATATGGATGTCCTCAGCACTAACCAGGAGAGAGAATATCCTGATATAACACCACTCTATACTATGGTCCACTAAAACCATGGAAATTAATTAGTGAAGCTACTCACAGTTTTCTGACCTCAGTTCCCAGAGCCTTCAGCCTTCAACTGACACCTCTAGTTTTGACCTTGTTCATCCCCTTTATTGAGATTTAAAAAATGATGATGAATACAACATTATTATCTTGTAAACCTGTCGTCCAGGATTCAGTTCCTTGAACATAATCACCACTGAGTCTAACCTGTAAAGCTGACCCAAACTTTCAAGATTAATGTCACCATACGAGAATCTTTCCTGAAACCAGCCAATCTCCTTTTTTTAAATTATTTTTCTTACCTTTAAAATCCCCAAGTTAATGCTTTATGTAATATCAATTTTATACAACTGTGTAATTATTCTGGTGAGGTGGAAAGCAAAAATTTAATTACTAAAAAGCATTGTCACTCTTCTTATAACCACGTAACATCTAAAGTAAACCGAAAGAAGAAGAAAACAAAAAAGGAATAAGGAGCAAGATAATTCCTTAACAGACATAATTTATTCATCCTCTTAATCCATACTTTCTAGTCTCAAAAACCTACTCTCCACCCTCTTTTCAAGTCTATCATCCTCCTTTCTCCCTTTCTCAATAGATTTCTCTCATATCCTCCCTGATCTTAATTCCACTCTGCCACTTTTAGCCAAATCCACCTCCCTATCCTTATGGTCAGATACTAACCCCATCTCCTCTAACGTTCAACAACCCTTAAAACTAGAAGAAGAACTCAGAATTTTACAAGACCACAACTGCTCTATGTGCATTAAGGAAATCATGTAATAATATTATCCTCTTCCAAAATCCACAAGTTTATCACTTCAAAGAGTCTAGCAGGTTTATGTAATAGCATTGTAAATCTGGAAATAAAAAATAAACAACTGAGAAAAAGAAAAGGAGAGACAAGTTCCATATCCTTTAATAAATTTAATTATTTATAGAATCAAGATCTCAAGGAACTACAATCAAGATCCTGACAAGCTCTTTGATTTTATACTATAAACTGATACATTACAAATAAAGACTTTGTACTGAAGTATTACAGTGAGTATACATAGGGTGCTGAAAGACTCACAAAAGGGAATAAATTCTAAGATGTTCTACTATAATAAAAGAGCCCAATGTTGGTTTTGAATAAAATAAACAAGAAGCTACAATTTAAACTACAAACCAAGACTGATTTCATTTTAACATTTTCTAATTTAACAGTTATGAATGGATTTCAACCTCCAACTGGACAAAGTTAGAATAATTGTTTCAATAATACCAATTCCAGAAAAATAAATTCTTGGTCTCACACACACATACACTCAAACACATGCACGCACACACACACACCTACCTCGACAGTACCAACTCCCATTCTATATTGAAAGAGGCCTAACCAATAGTAAATCACATGGTTCTCTTCCTTCGTTTCACCTTTATCTTTTTCCCCTAAAGGCTTTACAGTAAATTAATAAACATTTTTAACAATGAACTAGTCTTTAAATTTTAAAGTCATATTCATGATAAGGAAATTAATGTAGAACTTTCCTAAAGACTTATGCAAATTTTCCTTTACTGACATACTAAGTTTTGATAGTACCATTTATTTTGTGTTTGGAAAGTTTGTTCATAAGTATTAAATGAAAATAGGAATATAAAGGAAGCCCAGTAAAAATTTGAGATAACCAAAAAAAAAAAAAAAAATTGAGATAACCATTTTGATTTATCCTTTCTTCTTTATTTAATGTATTCTCCTCTTTTGTCCATCTAAGAAAACCTCAGAAAATGAAAATTTAGTTTGAATATTGCCATGGAGTCACTGAGGCATCACTACTGAAGATTTACTTCAACTTACCCACGCTTGATGTTGTGTAATTCCTTATCCTTGCATTTATCCTTCTCCTTTTCTCTTTTCTCCTTGTCTCTGCCTTTACGTCGTTCTCTATCCCGTGACCGACTACGGGTTCTTCGGTGACTGGACCTTTCACTGCTTCGACTATGGGAACGTGGACGAGGTCTTGACCTGGACCTATAATAAGTAGATTTTATTACATCAATTTAGGGTATATTTTGTATTATGAAATGCAAATATTCTTAAAAATAATCTAAAAGAAAAGGATTTAGTTTTTAATTATGAATTCAGTAAATAAATGTGGGAAGTAATTAAGTATCTATATAGGATTCTTTATGAATAAGTATACTCAATTAAAATGATATGAGGGAAATAAATGTCATCTTTAGAGGAAATTAGATTTGGTCAAAAAGCGTCTACAAGTATAAGTCTTAAAGGTTCAAATTGCCTTGAATGTTCAAGCCTCCTCAAATAATATAACAAATCTAAACGTATCTAAGCTAATTTCCAAAAATAGGGTCTTTCCTATCTCTACAATCTTGGCTTTCATGTCTATTCAACTTCTTTTCTTGTATCTAACTGTTAAAATAAAACTATTTCTCTCCTCTACTCTAATCCAGGTATATTTTTGTATTAAATCAGAGTATGAGGTAGGATATACTATGTTTTTGTTTTTTTGTTTTTTTGGGTTTTTTTTAAGTAAAGATTTCAGATCCCGCTTATGGTGCTGAAAGAAAGCCTCTACCAGATTGGTTATCCGATAGATAGCTATAAAAAACAACTATCTAAAGGCACTATTCAAAAGTGACCAAAGGAAGGCAGATTCTGTAGGAGGCCAAACTTGGGAAAAGAGCAGTGCAACAAGAAAGTTTCCCATTTTATATCAGCTTCTTTTCTGAGGGGGAGGCTAAGTTTGTGGGCAGTTCAGGGCAGATAAAACTCCAACAGAAAGCTTCAGGATTTCTGGCCTGAAAAAAAACAGAAGACTCAGTGCAACCACTGCAAAAGGAAAATGAAGGGGGAATCCTGAAAAAGAGTCAGAAGAGGAAGCCAAAAATTCTAGATATAAATAGTACTCAAATCTTGGACTGACTCCTACATTATACATAGGAGGGGGAAACTCCGCAGATAGCTAAGGATAAAAGAACTGAAAACATCAAATGTCCTTGAAGAGATGGGTTTTTACAATTTTAATTCAACTAACTTAATTTCCCACTAAAACAAACAAGTAAACAAAAAAAGTAAATCAATATTCTTCAGAGGAATATAACAGTACCCAGTGTATTCAAAAATATGACATTCATCATGTCCAGATAAAATCCAAAGTTACTACTAGATAATACAACAAAGCATGAAAAATGTGATCCAATTTCAAGAGAAAAGATAGTCAATGGAGATTAATCCTGAGATAAGCCAAATCTTAGATTAGCACAGGGGTTTTTAAAAAGTATAAGTATGCCTGCAATACAAAGAAATATCAACAGAAAAACTAGAAAATGAAAAAAACAGAAATTCTATAACTAAAAAAATCTGAAATTTAAATTATGCTGAATGAGATTAAAATCTACTAATCATTAATGAGATTACTAACAACAGAGGAATCTGTATACTTGAAAATAAATCAAGATTTATTGATCAAAGACCTAAGAGGAAAAAAACACTGTCAATAATAAAAACAGATCCTCTAGGATTTCTGTGACAATATCCTAATGTCTAACATGTTTATTAAAACCCAAAAGTAGAAAATATAATAAGATAGAACACAATTTTTTTGTGGTGGCCAAAATTTCCCCAAACTTAGTGAAAGAAATTTTCAGATCTGAGAAGTTTAGTGAACCCCAAAGATAAATAGAGAGATCATGGCTACTGATGAAACTGATAAAAACTACAAGTGAAGAGAAATCTTGAAAGTATTCAGAAAAAAACCTGACACATTACAATCAAAGAGAGCAATGATAGCCATTTCTGCTGGCTTTTTTTTTTTAATTTTTATTTATTTATTCATGAAAGACACAGAGAGAGAGGTAGAGTCACAGGCAGAGGGAAAGCAGGCTCCATGCAAGGAGCCCGATGTGGGATTCGATCCCAGGACCCCAAGATGACACCCTGAGCTGAAGGCAAATGCTCAACCGCTGAGCCACCCCAGCACCCCTCTGCTGGCTTTTCATTAGATACAATGGAAATCAGAAGACATAGAACAAAGTTCTTAACATGGTGAAAGAAAAAAAACAATCAGCTCAGAATTTATATTTAGCAAAAATATTCCTCAAATAATGAAAGTAAAATAAAGATATTCTTAAGATAAAGGGAAGAATAAACCATAGTCATCAACAGTAGATCTGTCTACACTAAGTTCTAAAGTTAAGTTCTTCAGGCTGAGGAGAATGATGATAGATGAAAACTTGGGATCTTTAGGAAGAATGAAGACCAATGGAAATGGTAAATATATGGGGAAATACAAAAAACTACTGCCTTTAACTTATGTAAAATACATATATGTGCTAGGGTTGCCTGGGTGGCTCAGCTGGTTAAGTGTTTGACTCTCAATTTCAGTTCAGGTCTTCATGAGTTCAAGCCCCACTTTGGGCTCCATGTCAAGCATGAAGCCTACTTAAAATACACAAACACAAACACACACACACACACACACACACACACGTGCTTAAAGTAAAAACTACAATGTTTCACTGTAGAGTTTATAATGCAAGTAGATTTAATACATATAGCCTATAAAATAAACTACACAGCATGTAAATGGAGACCTACACAGTTATAACATTTCTACATTTCACATGAATGGTGAAAGAGTAACTCTAGGTACACTGAAATGGTAAGGGCATATATGTAGTCCTTAGAGAAACCAATACAAGAAAAATAAAATGGAAAAAAATGCAAATATTTATAGGTAAAAGGTCAAAAGATAAGCTAAACAAGAATTCTTAAAAATATTCATTAATGCAAAAGGAGGCTGGAAAAGAAGTTCAAAGAAACAAAAATCAAAGGAACAAAATAAAATAAATATATGTATAAAAATACATAAAATAAAACACATTAAAATGTGCATATAAAGTACATAAAATAGATATATATCAGATGGTAGACTTAAATCCAAATATATCAATAAATATCTAAAATATTAATAGAATAAATACTTTAAAAAGAGCTTGTCCTGGGATACCTGAGTGACTCTTGATTTTGGCTCAGGTCATAATCTCTGGTTAATGAGACTGAGCCCTGAGTTCGACTCCACACTGGTGTGCAGCCTGCTTAAGATTCTCCCTCTCTCCCTCTTCCTCTGCCCCTATCCCCCTGCCCTCTTTAAAAAAAAAAAAAAAACACAAACTAAAAAACTGTCCAAATGAATCAAAAGGCAACACACAACTATATGCTATCTATATTTATTTTAAATATACAGACAAGGATTGAAAGTAAATGGTTAAAAATAGATACATCATGCAAACAGTAAGCACAGGAAGAGTGGAATAAATATATTAATATCAGATAAATTAGACTTCAGAAGCAAAGTATCACAAAAAAGAAAGAAAGATAGATACTTCATCATGATCAAAGGATCAATTCATAAGTAGAAATCATACAAAATGTTTATCTGACCACAATGGAATTAAACTAGAGTTTAATTAAAAAAAAAAACTAGAAAAAAATACAGAGAAATAAAATAGTCTTCTAAATAATGTGCTGATCAAGTAAGAAATCACAAGAAAAATAAAATATTTTGAACTGAAAGACAATAAAAATACAACATAGGAAAATATGTAAGACGAGCTAAAAGCAATGTTTAGAGGGAAACTTATAGCTTTAAATATTTATATTAAAAAAGAAGAAAGGACTAAAATCAAATACCTAAAGTTTCATCTTAAAAAGCTAGTAAAAGAAGAGCAAAGTAAACCCAGAGTAGGTAGAAAGGAGGAAACATTAAAGAGCAAAAACCAATAGAATAGAAAAAAAAAGCCAAAATGTGCTTCTCTAAGAATATCAACATATTTGGTAAATCCCTAGCTAGACTAACCAAGCAAAATAGAAAAAAGCAAAAAAACCCAAATTACTCCCCCAAGCGATGATAGGGAGATCGCATAAATCAGACCTGGGTATTTAGGACATATGATGGTCTTCAAGAGAATTACAAAGGTTTCAATGATATTAATACCTATCTTCTTTCAACCCTAATTAGTTTACTCAGTGAATGGAGAACAATATTACACAATGTCACAAACTTTTTTTAGTATGTGATCTTACTAGCAATGTCAACATGGGTTTATTATCCTCATTTATAAAAATTAAATTTGTATCATTTTCTCTTAGATTATTCTCCCTCTCTTAGTTTTGACACAGGACCTCTCTCTGTGTAAAGTTTTAATTTATCCTGACAATTTATTTCTCCCACAAATGTTAGCTTATTTATTTCTGATTAAATCTTCTGTTATATGTGAATATATAGAAATTTTAACAGATTATTCTAAAATCTCTGACTAACCATAAAAATTTAAAGTTTTCTAAAAAAAAAAAAACTTAAGTTTTGTTAAAAGAAAGTAATAATAAAAATGGTGGGGGGCCTTTTTGTGACAGCCTCAGCCACTATTCATATATATTTTATGTATATACACATAGAGTATATTATTTTAATTTGGTTCCACATTGTTCAAGACCAAAATATGATTCTTGCAATTAGTTTTCATTTAACTGGTGAAAATGTGGACTACAAAAGATGAGTTAACATTAGTTTAAACCCTAACAACAAAACTAAGTTTCTCTTTTTTAATGAATCTTTAAAGTAAGCTCATTTCTTAGTGGTTTGTTTTTTGGTCAAAAAAACAAAACAAGACACTGTTTGACAAAAATGTGCAGCCATTTGTGGATTACAAACCAGGTGGATTTGGGTGAAATCATGTTTTTTCACTGTATCTTAAAAAACAGATGTATCTGATATCTATATACCCAAAGTTATACAAGTATTAAGTTTAAAAAAATAAAGGATTCTTTATATTGTGGTGTCCTCTAACAAGTTATTTCCTCTCTGGGCATCTGTTTCCTTATCTACAAAAGGGGGATAATAACTACGTTTCAGGGTTACCTAACTGAATTGTAAGATAGCAGGCAAGTAATTTGGGAGCAGGCAGGCACTGAGAAAGACATAACTGAGGCAGGTGCTACTCTGAATG